AAAAAAAAAGTTATTCACATTATACAATAAAAGATCAAAAAAATAATAAAAAAGAAATGTAAAAGATGTTATTTTTTCATTATTTTGAATTTATCACTTAATTTTTGAAACTATGAATATGCTTATCACTTAATTAAAATAAATGCATTAATAATTACAAAAAATTTAAAACCAAATCCCAAATTCATTAGCGAACAATTAAAGAAGAGAATAGTTATATCTATTCATAGAATTGTATGGCATTTAAAAAAATAAAACTATAAGACTTATTTTGTTGGATGGCAAAAAACAAAGGACTTATTTTTTTTGATTTTTTTGGACCTACTACCATAATTAAAAGTTTACAGATTTTTAATTTGCAGTTTTTATTTATTTATTTAAAATAACGACTTGCTCAAACGTGGAAAATTCGGCCCATTTTTTGGCTTTTACGGTACGGACAAAGAACGGCATCAAAACTCCAACAGGCCGTTACCTGAAGCTCGGAAGCCCGGTCCAACACCGTCATTCTCCACAAACAGAAGGGTATTCCCGTCATTTCACCTTCTCACTTCCGAATATCGATATATATTCTGGGCCAACCTTCCACCGCAACAGGACATTACAGAACCTCCAGTTTTTTCCATTTCAACAAAACCGCGGGCTCCCAGAACGCCGGTGTCCGCTAACCTACAGCCAATGCGCACCGCCCGTCTCCTGCTACAAACGATTACGTGTCGCCACTGGTTTTGCCCTTAGTTTTACGTGTGCTCTCGTTAGCAATGGTGCAACTCACGTACAACTGTGCTCCTTAGCTACAACCCTGTGTCTCTGACAATATGAAGTGTATTTTTAAAATTTCCCACCGCCATTAATTTCTTCTCTCATTCTTATTTAGCTTAAACTGCACCCTTTTCAATTCCTCAATCTCTGATCCCTTCTTCTTCAACCTGAGGAAAACAGTGTTTTCTCTTGAAGAATCTGTGCTACTGGATCAAGAGCAAGGGGACGAGTTTTTGGTGGATTCTTTTTTTTTTCATTGATTAGGTAGGAGCTGATATTTCTAAGCTTATCTGTTGACGGATTTTCTGTTTGTTTCTGTGAAAAAATTTTGGTGATTCAAAAGAGCTGAGTGAGTGCTTGAATTTTCTTGTAATCGAGTTTAAGGACTTACTAACTCTGTGAGTTTTAAGCGATTTACCGGAGTTGGACGGCCGGGGAGTTCTTTTTGGTGCTTGGAGATGAGGAGAGTTTGAGAGGGGGAAGGATAGTTTGTACGTGAAGAGGAGGGGCAACCGTGCGTAGTGGTGGCGGTGATCTCGTGAGGCCCGTGGGAAAAAAATGCCGCATCGAACGACTTACTTCTTCCCGAGGCAATTTCCGGATCGCCGATTCGACGAATCTACTAAGCAATTATTGAATCACGAGACGATCGCTAAAGAAACCGTTCAAAGGACGACCGCCGAAAATGACAGCAAGTCGTCGTCAAGGACATCAACAACAAAGGACTTGGTGCCAGCCAAACAGGCCTACCTATCAGAACTTTTCACGGACGAAAAGCTCCACGCCAAAAAGCAACAACTCGCAGCATTACGCAATTGGCTGACCGAGAAAAACGGAGACAGATCGTCAGCTCACGTGAAATCATCACGGCGCTCCCCTAGTGACGAGGATCACGAGTTGTTACCTCCTCCTGAATCGGCGCCTCCTCGGCCGCCGGAGACTAAGGTTATCAAGGACCGGAGCGTTGATCAGAATTTAGAACGGCTGGTCTCGCTGCCGAGGCTGTCTAGTGGAAGTAGTTATGCAGGTAGTTTGTTATCGGGAACGACCTTGGATGGAAATTCATCGAGCGATGTCAAAGATGCTTGGGCGAGGGAATCTTGCACGCGCATGCCGATGTCGACGGAGGTGGAGGCGGAGGATTCAAATAAGGCGGGCTCAGTGCAGAGGTCGAAGGAGGGTTTCTACTTGCAGCTTACGTTGGCGAGGAGGCTTACTTCCCAAGCAACCCTTGTTACTGAGCCATTCCTGTTGCAAGAGTGTGGTCCTTATGTTGCTGACCCCGAAACCGTTTCTCATCGTCTTTGGGTACATATGCTTCCTAGACATGCCTTCTGAGTTGAATTTTTACTTAACATTTCTTTTGATATGGTGATAATCATTTTGTAGGTGAGTGGTTGCCTGTCTTACAGTGACAAGATAACCGATGGATTCTATAACATTCTCGGGATGAATCCATATCTATGGGTTATGTGCAATGATTTAGAGGAAGGAAGACGGCTACCACCTTTGATGTCACTCAAAGAAATTGAACCCAGCGAGACATCTATGGAGGTGGTTCTTGTTGATGGACAAGGGGATTCTCGTCTCAAGGAGCTGGAAAATAAGGCACAAGAACTGTATTGTGCTTCTGAAAATACTTTGGTATTGGTGGAGAAACTTGGAAAGCTAGTCGCTATATGCATGGGGTAAGTTGGGACATTTATCTTTATTTTCATAACTTAAAGTATATTTCTTTTTTTTTCATAACTTGTATATTTCTCTGTCTCTCTCAATTTACATTGGAATATTGGATTGCGTTGTTTATGTGTAGCGGAACTTTCCCAGTTGAGCAAGGTGATCTCCAAAGGCGCTGGAAATTTGTTAGCAAAAGATTAAAGGATTGTCGGAAGTGTATAGTACTTCCCATTGGCAGTCTATCTATGGGACTTTGCAGACATCGTGCTATTCTATTTAAGGTACGTGATAAAACATCAGTTCATTTCTTTATATACTTGTGAACAAAATTTCTTTATAAAGATAAGAACATTTGTAATCAAGTAATCAACTGTGCTTTTAGTGGTTTTATTTATTTATTTAGTTATTTTTGGCTGAAAGGCATCTGATAAGAGTATCTCAAGACTCTGGAGTTGACAAGCCCTCATTGGTTCATATATCAGATAGCTGTGCCATTCGAAACATGTCATCTAATGTTTTTCAACTCTGAATTGTTATTCTAAACTCAGATTATGATATGTTTTGAATGAGAACCATTTATTGAGTGGTAGAATAGGCTAATCTAGGAATGACTTAGTCTATGATGTGCCACCTGGAATTTTTTCATTTTTCAATTTATTGAAATGTTGTATCCTATACATAGATTGATTCATATGGTGTGCTCAAAACCAGTTTGATTCGGGTCAACAATGTAGTTCCATTGGTATTGTGTGTTTGTTCAAAAGTGGTTTGATTTGGACTAATAATTTTTAATCTACTTTTTCTTTCTTTGTTTGAATGAAAGTGAAGGTTAGCAGTTCATGCAATTTACGACTCTGTTTTTGGTCTTTGGAATGTGTGTTATCTAGAAGATTAAGGTAACCTGGCCTGTAATGACATAATATTCCTAAAATTTTTTAAATCATATATGCATGTCTGGACAGGGACCATGGTTTTGCAACTGAATTTAGAAGCTCCAGAAAGATACCCAGATAATAGAGCAGTCCATTAAGAGTATTCTATTCCATGAATATTCAGTGAGGTATTTGTGGCCTGCTATGGTGAATTGACAAGATTTATGTGAAACATGTGATTTTTGTGGGTTATTTGTTAGAGATCATGCTTATTTTGTTTTCTTCTTTAATTTACTGAAGCAGGGCTAACCAGATTTAGGTTTAACATACAAATTATGATC